GAATGGAAAAACTATAATTGAAGTTTAAGTAGCAAAACAGATTTATGATATTCGTAAAAAAGTAAGAACCCCAGTATTAAAAATGATGAACATTTTTAAAAAGCAGAAAAGAACTTACTATCGGGGGGCTTTTTTTTCAAAAAATAGAAAACAATAAAAAAACCACCAAAGGAAAATAAAATTAAATAAAGTTTTGGGCCCAAATGGCATCATTTTTGAATTGAATATGAGCCAAAAAGAAACACAATATTTTTACCAACACTGTGCAAAAGTAAAACTAGACACTGCTTCAGAAGGTTGGGTTTAGGCTATCTTTTAAGGACGTTTTTAAAACCCAACCCCAACACCCCTGGCTTTTGTGTGGTTTTTTAGGCAAATTTACGTCCAGTATTTTGCCACCTTTCTGGACGGGGCTTGGCAATGAAAAAACGATCCCTTTTCCAAGACTGCCCGTTTAAAAAATATAAAGGGCAAAACAATTTTTGGTTTGAGAAACATCGTGAAAGAAAATTTTGAGTCGTAGTAAATTTAAAAAAAAGACAGTGAAGTTCTATTGGGGACAATTTTGGGGTATAATAATCTTTTTCATGCGAACAAAAGAAGAAGAAGTAGTTTTTTTTACTGTAATTCTTTTATGATCCCTTGGCTACTTTTCATTCACAGGAGACCCATCCCAGACAATAAAAACGGGCTGATCTGGATTTGGACAAAGGGAAAACTTTTCAGCTGGAAAGCAGTCGTGGCCCCGGGTAAATACCCACTAAACCAAAGGCCCAACAGGAATACCACTGCCAGATGTTATAACTGTCAGAGTGGTGATGGTCAGTACACTTAGGACAAACTTTGATGTAAAAAATAAACTTTTTGTGCCATTTCATAATTGAAATTGGCTGCATAATAAGCTGCCTATGGAATATTTTGTAGTTAGCCCCCGTCTCTTCCACAGTGTGACTCTTTACCCATCTTAAAACCCACAACCCCAATTTTTTTTCCACAAACAAATCTGGTAAAAACTGAGATTGCATTGAGAAATGTTTACACTAACCTCTAAGCCATCATATCTAAAAGTTAGTTGCGTATCCTTTACAGGACGTTGCAGAACCAACCCTAACAGCCCCTGGCTGTTGTGTGGTCTCTCTAGGCAAATTTACATTCAGTAGTTTGCCATTGCTTTCTGGACGGTCGGCTTTCTTGATACCACTGTCGAAGCCAACGCAAGGCGCATTGCCCGCAGCTGGGATCGAACCCGGCACCCTGGCATCACGAAGCGTTTGCATCGACTTAGCCACAGAGCCGACAAGCCATCACATCTACAAAAACATATTTAAAAAAATGGTAGTGCCCCTGCAAGATAATGTATAGGTACTTGAAAATGTCCTAGGAAGTAAAGACAGTTGGTTCAGTGTTGACCAAACCACCCATTGTGTGTCTGTCGGTAATATTGGAATAGCACTAACATGCTGAAACTGTGGTGCACCCCAAGGCAAAGAAATGGTACTTTGGTTTTTAATGCTCAAGAAATTTGGCCTTCCCGATGGTCACTTCAGCTATGTATTTAGTCATTTCTTCTTCTTCTTTGTTCACCTTTAAAAAAAGTATCTGGCACATTGTGTTGTGGTTTACAGCTGAGATTTGACATCTGCGCCTTTCCAACATCGGATTTCAACAAACCCTTTAATGAATTTGCTTGTTAGAGGGGCTGTGAGTATTTTTTCTTTTACTCATCAACCCCCAGTAGGAAATAAAACAGCCGGTATGATGGCAGCCTAGGAAATAAAACAGCCGATATGATGGCAGCCTAGGAAATAAAACAGCCGGTATGATGGCAGCCTAGGAAATAAAGCAGCCGATATGATGGCAGCCTAGGAAATAAAGCAGCGGGTATGATAGTCACATCAAATCACACATTGAGTGCCAGCTGGTGTTTAAAATTATGGGTCTATCACCATATTCAACGCACGTGACAAGGTGCAGCAAAATATATCAGACAATCAATTGTGCAGTGTATTGTCTGGCATATTTGGCTGTATCTTGTCAGGATTCTTTTTGTTTATTTTCCTGTTATGGTGCTCGTTGATAGAGACCCTGGTTACAACATTCATTTGTTTCTTTGCTATAAATAAAATTTGTTTCTTTGTGTGGTTCCCCCCCCCCCCCCACCCCAATTCCCTCCTCATTGACATTCATAATTAATGTTTAATACAATTATTTCTTTTAACTCATGTCAAGCCTTAAGTAGACTTATTTGTGACCAATAGGATTTTATAGCCACATTTCTGTAAGATATAAGGTAATGCATCCATCAGTCCATTTATTTCATGACACTGTCTATTGCTGTCCATGTGTCTGCTAAGTTGTCTTTGTCTAAATTGTATGGATGTCTTTCAGTGTGTGTGTTGTTTAGATGTGTGTTTATCTTGTGTTTAGTAGTTACGAATATGGTTTGTAATTTCCTTACTATCCGGTTCGATTCAGCTGCAGGAATTTGGCAGTATACTGCTTTGCCCTGATTTTGACAGTGGTATGGAGAGCACATCATTCAGAAGGCAATGGCAAATTACTAAAAGTAAAATTCCCTAGTAAAACTAAAAACAACCAGCAAATACTTCAGTAGCTTTGTAATTTCCAACAAAGGATACACAACTAACTTAACTATTATTATGACATCAGGAATTATACATATAATTAATAAAAGTGAGTCATATATTTGTAGTGATTTTTTTTAAAAAGTTTTTGATTCTGCAACTGTGGCTTAGAGGTTAGTGAGCACATTTCACAACCCTAGATGTACCAAGGCTCAATTTCTGTGCGGAGCAGCTTAGAAAGGGCTGTTTTTGTTTACTGCAACAGTGGTACCAGAGTCACAGTTTGGAAGAGATTTAGGCCTCCCCACCTAACACTCTTATAGACAGCGGTCAGTGTATATATTCACCACAGCAAATCTATGTTCTGTAGATGGCACCCAATTTTATTATTTTTTTTGTATTTGAATTTTGGGGTAGCGGGGTAGAGTAAACCCTACCGTCAGGAGATGTAAGATGTCTCCTTCTCTCCACTAGCCTGCAGGACACCTCATGGTCAGGGTAGAGTACCTGCCCTTCCCCAGCTCGATCAGGATTACATGGACTCATGGCTGGCAGATAAAGGATACAAGTGGTGAGCTGCTGAACAGTTTTCACTGCTGGTCATCAGTTTAACTGCGCTAGGCAGAGGAAGTCTCTATAGGTAAAATCTATAGGATAATTCATCCAGTATGGGCACTGCTGTCACAGAAAGAAATTGCAACCTTCTGTGAGTCTTTGTAAAAGAAAAAGAGAAAAAAATTCACGTCTGTGCACAATCGTTGAACATAAATGACGTCAAAGGAGTTCAAGGACTGCCTCATCTGGTAGGTAGGTAGGTATTTGATTTGATCATACGTAGTAATAATTTACACAATTTAGGATAGCTTCCTTGTGTATTCTAGGTCCAATATTTTGTTTGGTATGCTTTCGTTGTTTTCAGAGGACTGTGAAGCAAAAGATGTTGTCGTGGAAATAGAGAGGTCAAGGACAAAGAAACCATTCTTGGGAGGTTTCCGCAACAAGAACACTGGCGTGGAGTTCCATAATGCTTCAGCCCAGACAGTCCAGAAACCCAGACCACCGCCAACCTCGGAGCGCTTCTGTCGAGACACACAGACATGCGAGCAGAGAAATATGGTAGTTTGTGGTTATATTATTTAAAATTGAATTTAACTGTTGTGAATTTTAATAATGAGGATGACACCAAGAAGGAACCATTATCACATTTTGTACTAATACATCATATGATAAATTGACACATAAAGAGAACTGATTGTCCACATCAGAAGGAGACAATCTGCATTCTTGGTCATGTGATGGGAAGGAGAAAACTTGAGTACTTCATGAAAGTGGGAAAGTTTAGAGGGAGAAGAGGCAGAGGGAGACTGAGAAAGAGGATGTTGGACAGTTTGACATCGTGGCATGGAGGATCATCTGTATCAGATATGACTGAAAGTGCATGAGGCAGAAGGTTGGGGATAGACATGACTACTAGCGCCACATGGCGTAGACTATAAAAAGAGACACCTTATGAGATGCGGGTAGTCCAGGTCAACCCCACATTAGGTTGCAGGTTGCTCTGTAACCATAGCGATGCCCTAATAAAACTATTTAATACTGCTGAACAGGATTTTTTAGGATTTGGATTTGTTTGATTTTTGATTCTGAACTTTTCCCCATGTGGGTTCCAAGGCCCCATTGTGGGTGCAAAAAACAAAAACATTACACCCACAGCACCCAACAAGCATGTCACAGAAGTTGACAAGCATGTCACAGAAGTTGACTGTTTAGGGGTGCCTCCTTGGAAGTGTGCCTGAGAGGCAAGGAATCAACAGTCAGCATAGAAATAAGCTAGATCTGTGAAAACTGATGTGCATGCGACAATTCAGGTTCTACAACAAGACCAGAGTCCAGAAGTGGACGAACAACCAGGTCTTTCTGCTGGAGTTTATAGCTGAAGAGGATTTATATACATGATTAAAGACCCCTTAAATGGCTATGACTCCATAAATGGCTATGACTCTTTAGATGGCTATGACCACTTATGCTATGACCCCTTAAATGGCTATGACTCCTTAAATGGCTATGACCCCTTATGAGGCTATGACCCCTTATGTGACTATGACCACTTATGTGGCTGTGACGCCTTAAATGGCGATGACCCCTTACATGACTATGACCCCTTATGTGGCTATGACCCCTTAAATGGCTATGACCCCTTAAATGGCTGTGACCCCTTAAATGGCTATGACCCCTTAAATGGCTGTGACTCTTTAAATGACTATGACCCTTAAATGGCTATGACCCCTTAAATGGCTATGACCCCTTAAATGGCTATGACCCCTTAAATGGCTGTGACCCTTTAAATGACTATGACCCTTAAATGGCTATGACCCCTTAAATAGCTGTGACCCCTTAAATGGCTATGACCCCTTAAATGGCTATGACCCCTTAAATGACTATGACCCTTAAAATGGCTATGACCCCTTATGTGGCAAAGACCCCTTAAAATGCTCTGACCTCTTAAATGGCTTTGCCCCTTAAAAAATCATGTTGCTGAGATGGCCTCAGCTCCTAGACTCCAGTATCCTTGCAAAGAAATACAGTTCACTGCTGGAAAAAAAGGGTTTACGCGTGAGAGAATGCGCTTCGTTGCACTGGATCTGATCTCACATAGTTCAGTCTCTTAGCAGAGCAACTGACTGTCAGTCCCCATGAATTGGAGAATCGACATCACAGCACTCGGGACATTCCCATATGTGCTCTACCCCCATCTTCAGCAGCAAGCAGAGAATTCCAGTGCAGATGGTATGAGTAACAGTTCTGACTGTACGTCTGTCTCGCTCCTCCCCTGAATGTTGAATGTTGGCCAGGTCCCATAGTCACTCCTTACTGCACCCTTCTCTTCAAATCATGATGCTCTATTTGCACCTCTGCATCATTTACTTGCTCTCAACATCTGGTGTGTCATGCATCAGTTTGCCACCAGATGGCTCCCTGTGTGGGTTCTGGGGCCCTATTATGGGGAAAACAAGAATAGACCCACTGCCTACCCAAAAGCACGTCGTAAGAGTCATCTAAAAGAGAGCTTTCCTTCAAAGTCAGAGCGCAACTGCCTGAGAGGCAAGGAACCAACAGTCTGCATACAAATGAGTCAGATCTGTAAAATGGATGCACATGCAATGCTCAGGTTCTGGAACAGGACTGCAGTCCGGAAGTGGACGAACAACCAGAACTTTTCACCGGAGTTTACAGCTGGTGAACGCGAAGAAGAAGACCACCAGATGATGCAGAACCAGCCAGTATATATGCAAAGTCATTTTCAAATACACCGACATAGCCTGGGCATGATATTTGAATAATCACACAAACAAAATATTGCACAATTTATTGCCTTGCATATGTCGCTTATGTCATCAGGTACGTTGCTACAGAGTTTATGTTAACATACAATGAAGTTCAAAAGTGAATCCTTGGAACATAAATATGCAGAGCCCAGCTGTTTTTTTTTTTTACACTAAACATCTTGACACCGTACATCTTGACACCGTACATCTTTACACTGTACATCTCCACAAGGAACTCTTCTTCTGTGTTAGCCTTTAAAAAGGTGGTTAGAATAATGTGATGTGGTTTACAGCTAGGCAGCAATATCTGCACTTTCTGGCCAAACACATCTCATTTTCAGCAAGTCTTTTATTAGTTTTATTACGACTAGGTTGCTAGCGTCACTGAGTTTAATCTTTTATTCCCCCCCCCCCCCCCCCCCCCCCATAAAATTGGACCTGGAACACACCCAGGGAACCATAGAATTAACAATTTTTTTGCTTTCTTATTAGCTGACCATAGTTGATGTCACGAGACAAATATTTTAGAGGATGGTAAATGTGGGTTTCCATGTTTTCTGTGCTATAGTGCGTTTCTTCCAAGGCCAAGGTTTCCGCATGTTTTTTCAGAGCGTTGGCGTCTTTCCAGCGGTATGTGTTCAATCGTTGCCATGAATTACCTTGAACTAGCAGCATCGGTACATGACAAGAAGAATAGTTCCTGCAACTTTCTGGCATTCTGCATAGTACCAGAACTTGTGCGATTGTGTTATCGCTGACCGAAAACAGCATACATCTAGAATGACATTGTCTTTTATTCATTGTTGTCGGTTGCCAGCGATATCGCATGTTCTATATTGCACAATTAAAGCACTTTTAATGACCCCAAAATATCTAGAACTGGCCCTAACCCCAACCCACCTATGTCCCATGAGAGAGTGAGCCTAGGTCCTACGACTGCATACAGCCTAGGTTCCATGACGATAAACATAGAATGACTGGCCCTTCTTAGGGCCCCCCCCCCACCCCAAATACTCCCATTGGCAAGGCATTCTGCCGACTGCACATAGAGTTCACACACAAACATTGCAAAACTGCATCCTCCTGAGAAAAAAAATTCATTCTTCCTATTGCACATAGAGTCCACACCACACACACACACACGCACACAAAATGCACAGCACAAAACTGCCCAGCTAATGAAATGCTAAACTACTAAACTATACACTTAATCTACCACCCCCCCTGAAATATTAGACTGGATTTTCCCCTGTTTGTGGTTGGCTTTTGAGAACGAACCTTTTTTTTTTTTTTAAGATTGTCATTTACCTGGAAAAACTTTCTACACACACACACACACGCACGTACACACCCACACATATCTGTGTATATGTTTTTTGTTGTTATTTCAGCACCAACAAACCCACAATAACACCAGCACTCAGATGACTGGTATCGGAGTGTACATCAGTAACTTAGAGGACAAACTCATTGCTCCAGGAGAATATGTAACAGCTGATGATTACTGGGCGATGATTCTTGACAAAGTAGGTTAACTCTTTCTGTCCCAGGCAGTTTTTACTACTTCACCTATAGTCTGTTACTTTATCAATATATAATCTTTACACTCCAGGACATTTCCAGATACCCATTTAACGCTGAATCCATCTGAGAGCCCTAGTTAAAATTTAAAAATCTGTCCTGATGCAGATTTGAACCCAAAACCTTTAGAGCAGTATGGTACTTTGCAGTTTGAGCGCATCTGCCTGAGAGACAAGGAACCAGCAGTGTGCCTACAGATAAGCCAGATCTGTGAAATGGATGTGCAGTGTAAGATCTGGAACAAGACCAAAGTCCAGAAGTGGACAAACAACTAGACTTTTCACCAGAGTTTATGGCCAGTTTGATTTTGATTTGATTTAATTTGATTCAAGAATTGATATCACAGCACTCGTAGCATTCCCATAAGCGCTCCTTCCCCATCTTTAGCAGACAGCAAAGAGTTCCAATACTAATAGTGCCAGTAACATTATGATTAAATGTCCGTCTTGCCTTTCCTCTAAGCCTCGAGCATCTGCCAGAACTTCTTGTCACTCCCCCCTTCATGAATCTCACCAGACTGTAGTGTTTCATCTGCTCCTCCAGCGGGTGAAAGGGAGTAGTATGCAAAATTACTACCATTGTGCCATAATGTCCTCCATTTAATTGTCTTTTTTCTTTTTTACTTAATGTAATTGAGAATGTGTTCCATCTTCTGACTTTATATTGTTATGATTTAGAAATTTGATTTATGGTTACTTATATAAAGAACATTTAAGAAGACCTTGACTTTGCTGACGACAGTGTTTTTGAGTTCAACACACCTAGATATCCAAGGGAAAACAGACCATCTCCAAAATATTTCAGGCCAAATTGGTCTCCACATTAAACAGCAAAAACAAAAATTATTGATCTTAGCAGTAGTTTAGAAAACAACAAACTAAACAGTCGCATTCTTGAAAGAGATAACAACTTAACTAGGAAGTAAGATGATATCTACAGGGGACTCAGCGCCAGAAATATCATTTAGAATCACACTGGCATCTAGTGCCTTTTCCAAACTGTCAAATATCTGGAAGCAAAAGACACTCAGCAAACAAACAAAAAAACTGAAGATCTTCAACTCTTGTGTGAGTCCAGTACAAATGGATGCGAGAGTTGGAAAGCAACAGTAGTTCTTAATAAAAAATTATACACTTTTGAGAACAGATGTCTTAGAAGACAATTAAATCTCCAATGGACAGATTTCAGATTTAGTAAGCAAAAAAGACAAGAGACCAAGCAAGAAAATGTATAAAATTTTATTAGAAAGCGCCGATGGAACTACAGATTTAAGATTTAGTAAGCAAATAAGTCAAGAGACCAAGCTAGAAATTGTATATAATTTTATTAGAAAGCGGCGATGGAACTACAGATTTAAGATTTAGTAAGCAAATAAGTCAAGAGACCAAGCTAGAAAATGTATAAAATTTTATTGAAAAGCGGCGATGGAACTACAGATTTAAGATTTAGTAAGCAAATAAGACAAGAGACCAAGCTAGAAAATGTATAAAATTTTATTAGAAAGCGGCGATGGAACTACAGATTTAAGATTTAGTAAGCAAATAAGACAAGAGACCAAGCTAGAAAATGTATAAAATTTTATTAGAAAGCGACGATGGAACTACAGATTTAAGATTTAGTAAGCAAATAAGACAAGAGACCAAGCTAGAAAATGTATAAAATTTTATTAGAAAGCGGCGATGGAACTACATTGGCCTTGCACTCAGTATGGATAAGACAAGACTCCCCCTTCAAGCTCTCATAGGGACACCGGAAGGGAAAAGAAAAACGGGGAAGACCAAGAGAGACTCTGCATAGAACCATTATCTGGGAAAGCTCAACTATGGGCCTAATGAATATCCAAGACCTAAATCAGGTGGCAACAAACCGCCAGACATGGAGAACTATGACCTCTGCCTTTTGCACCGTCTTAGGATCAAGAGCAAAGACTAACTAATATGAAGAACTGACTTCTCTATGAAAATTAAATTCTAAAAACTAGAATTCATGAAGTAAAATAGTTGTGTTTTTTTACAGGTGATCATACTGCAAAAAAATTTTCGCCGCTGGCTAGCCAAACGTTACGTAAAGAAACTAAAAGAAGACAAAGAAAAAAGATTAGAATGGGAGAAGCTGGAGGAGTTACGAAAGAAGAAAGAAAAAGAAGAGCGTCTTCAGCGAGAATATGCCCGCAGAATCCACCCAAAAACACAGGCAGACTTCGACAGGCTTATGAACTGTTTGGAGAGTATGTCTGTTAGTTGCTACCATTTGTCTTTCTGCTCCTTTATAGGAAGTATTAGCTGTGACTGTAATGAAATATTTCTTCATTTTAAAACTATTAAAATTTAAGTGGAAAAACCTATTTATTGCATCAGGTGTTGTCCCATATAGATCAGTCTCTCTCTGCAGAATGGCTAGCCACCAACTGAGAGTGCCACACAAGGTACAAACTCCGTAGCTCCAGTGATGATTCACAGGGTTCTCTATTAAAGCTACACTCATGAACTGACTGCAGTTACATGAACTTATGACCTTCAGGGCATGAGGAAAACAGCACAGAGATCCAAAAAACTATGTATATTTGTGTATATGAGAGTCTGTGTGAATAGTGTGTGTGTCTACCTGTGTCCCTGGGTATGTGTGTGTACCTGTATGTCTGCATATCTGTGACAGTCTTTCTGTATGTGTGTATATAGTCATTAAATGCTGTGTCAGATGAAACAGGCAATCAAGTTTCTCCATAATCATCTATTTTCTATGTATTTGGTAAGCTCAGTCACTGATCATCTTGAGTGTTATTTTGCCAATCCCCAACATTCCCTGTTGTCTGATCTGTTCAGCATTACACCAGCTGCCTTTATTTTCTGTATTATTTAATGATGTCCATTTTAGTCCAGGACGACTTAGAACCAAAGTTAAATTATTGGTACCTGGTATGGATTTGAAAATGACCTTCAGATCACCATCCAGTCACTGTGCCACCAAGACTTTTTTCTGGCAGTTTGCATTTATTTTTTTTTTAAAGCATCTTTTCTTTTTTTCGTCCTGAGATAACAGACATTTTGCAGTGAGAACTGGCACGTTTATATTCTGGGGAAAAGTCCTAGACTCAGTCGTTATGGTGCCATAACATTTATCATCATGAATGTGTGCTGATATGTGAACAAACATGATATTTTTCATCATGAATGTGTGCTGAAATGTGAACAAACATGATATTTATCATCATGAATGTGTGCTGATATGTGAACAAACATGATATTTATCATCATGAATGTGTGCTGATATGTGAACAAACATGACATTTATCATCATGAATGTGTGCTGATATGTGAACAAACATGATATTTTTCATCATGAATGTGTGCTGATATGTGAAAAAACATGATATTTATCATCATGAATGTGTGCTGATATGTGAACAAACATGACATTTATCATCATGAATGTGTGCTGATATGTGAACAAACATGATATTTATCATCATGAATGTGTGCTGATATGTGAACAAACATGATATTTATCATCATGAATGTGTGCTGATATGTGAACAAACATGACATTTATCATCATGAATGTGTGCTGATATGTGAACAAACATGATATTTTTCATCATGAATGTGTGCTGATATGTGAAAAAACATGATATTTATCATCATGAATGTGTGCTGATATGTGAACAAACATGACATTTATCATCATGAATGTGTGCTGATATGTGAACAAACATGATATTTTTCATCATAAATGTGTGCTGATATGTGAACAAACATGATATTTATCATCATGAATGTGTGTTGATATGTGAACAAACATGACATTTATCATCATGAATGTGTGCTATGTGAACAAACATGATATTTATCATCATGAATGTGTGCTGATATGTGAACAAACATGATATTTATCATCATGAATGTGTGCTGATATGTGAAAAAACATGATATTTATCATCATGAATGTGTGCTGATATGTGAACAAACATGACATTTATCATCATGAATGTGTGCTGATATGTGAACAAACATGCATGTCGATATATGCATGTGCTTGCCTTAATTATACTTACTTTTTACTTGACTCAAACATCAGAATGGCGCAAGGAAGAACTTGAAAGAATCAATTCCACCCTGAGTGGAGCTGAACGTAAGGCTGCCATGTGCATGTTGTTAGATCAGGAGACCGAACTCTTGTCTGCCATTGAGAGGCACAAGAATGAGGCCAGTTCTGACAACCACATTTCAAGAATCATGAACTTTCTGGAAAAGGTAAGAGTCTTTCTGTAACCAACTGATCAGGAGACCGAACTCTTGTCTGCCATTGAGAGGCACAAGAATGAGGCCAGTTCTGACAACTACATTACAAGAATCATGAACTTTCTGGAAAAGGTAAGGCACGTCTTTCTGTAATGAAAAGAGTTTTACAAGTCTACTAACCTATATTTCCCATAGTGATGTCAATGTGGGCATTAACATCAAATGAAAATGGAAAAATCGCAACAGCAGAAATGAAATGTCAACAGCACATCTTAAATGTAACTAAAAGAGACAGGATGATATCAGGAAAGACTTTGGGACGGAACCAGTATTAAACTACATCAAGAGACAACAGATCAAATGGTTTGGACTGCAACCAGACAGTGCACCACATAAGCCCTGTCATTCAGGCATAATATAAGCAGACCCAGAGGTCGACCATGCAAGCGATGGATAGAAGGAATATCTGAGACTGTAGAACACACATCTACGTAGCACATACCAAGACTCTCACCTGAAGCCTCTTAAAAACCTGATGCTGAACAGCAATACAGAACTAGAGAAGCAGAAGAAGAAGATGTCAATCACATCACTCACTGAGAGCTGACTGATCAATAAATATAAGTCTAACATATAGTTGTATACCCTCGCAGATTAGAAGTTTGTGGGTTCGTGTCCTGAAGGACCTTGGCTCCCAGGTTGACATAACCTTGAGTAGGTCCCAGGTATAGTCCTGAGAAGTAAAGGCGGCTGGTGTTGTGATGTTGACCACATCACCCACTGATTGGTCTAGCCTACATTCTAAATACGCCTGAAGACGTGGAAAGGGGTCCTTTACTTTACTTAAGCAGTCATATGCCCAATGTGCCGCGGGCATGAAGAGGCTGAGAGAGAGAAACTATATATTGAACACATCCTGAGGACAAGTGGTAGGGAATCACTAAACAGGCACTGAAGTGGGGAACAAAAGGGTTGAACACAAGGATGTCCAAGGGAAACCACTGTGACAAATATTGATGAGAGAAGTGAGAGGTGCTGGACTAGATTCTGTCTATGATATAAAAAAAAAGTCTGCACAGAATAGAATGGAATGGAATGGAATAGAGAAAGAGTGTGGAAGCTCTGTTTAACATATAAACAGCATGACCAGATGATGATGATGATGATATGTATTTTTAGTCAGTTATGACCTGTATTCATTTCATTGACTCCTCTATCCACCCTGGGTGTTGTTATAATCACACTGGAATTGGAAGGAATGAAATAAACCTTAAAACCCCAGCCAAAATCATTTGTTACATCAACCTGGCAGGGGTTTGTAGCAATGACAAAATGTGGTGAAAATATTGTTCATTGATTTGTTTTTGTTTACCCACAGGCTGCAGCTCCCAAAATGTGGCAAGCTCATGATGGCAAGTTGACCTATATGGATACACCATTTACAATTCGTGCCAAGGAGCTCAGAGATATTTACAACAGCATTAACATGAGGTACCTGACCCAGGATGAGCGCCTCGATGTGTTGCTGACACTGAAACATACTGTAAAAGTAAGTGCTAAATGCAAAATAAAACGTGTCTAGAAGAAGCTCAACAGAGGGAATGGACAATAAGCACACAAGTACAGGGGAATGTTTCGACCAAAGCCTTTTTCAACGGAGTACTAAATACTAGGGCTGTACCGAATAGTGATTTTCACTATTCGGCTGAATACGAATAGCGGGACCAACTATTCGGCCGAATACGAATAGTGTATGGTGTATAAAATGTTTAAAAAACAAAACATTAATAATTTCAAATGTACGCTGAACTTTTACTTCACAAAAAGTAGCACAGAAAAGCCATCTTCTTCTTTAGCATTCTGAGCTCTTGAGGTTTACTGCTGCAGATATCATTCGTCTCCATTCATCTCTCTGACTGGCCTTATCTTCACAATTTGTGACACCAGTTGTTTGCAGGTCTGGTTAGACATTATCTTTCGATCTTCTTTTTTGTCTGTCTCGTGGTCTACGCCCATTCCTCTCTCAGGTGTATACAGTTTTTAACTTCTCTTTCATCTGACATTCTCTCAATATGCCCCAACCATTTTAGTCTGTTAGCTCTCGTGATGCCAGTGATCATTGGTGATTTAAACAGATTATGTGTTACGTTGTTGTTTCTCACTCTCCATTCTTTGCTGTTAGCATCTTTGATGGTTCCAAAGATTTTTCGTAAGACTGTTTTCAAAAACCTGTAATAAGGCCTCATCTCTTTTATTTCTGCTTCGAGTTTTAGAGCCATATAAAAGGACTGGTTTTTTCAACGTTTTATATATTTTGATCTTGGTGTTGCGAGACAGACACTTTGACTTTAGCATGTTGGAACAGTTGAAGTTTGCACCCAAGTACTTATATGTTTCCGTTCGTTTGATTTTCATATTATCGACTTGTATGTGGCCGGAGTTTATATTCTTTCCATGTCTAGTTAGTATTCGTACAGAATAGCAAACATTTAAAAACATTTTATGTTCTGCATCATTCCGTCAGTCTGTGGTAACTAATAACTAGGATTGAAAGAATCCTAAGTATTATAACAAGTAACTAAACTTGGAAGTTGTCACTGACAGCTTAGTTAGTGCATTAAAGCTGCATTAGCTTTCAACAAAACCAATCGTTCCATATTGTCAGCATTAAGGCCGTGTATGCAGAAGCAGGTGTAAGGTAACTACTATTGGTATTTGGCCCAACCGCAACTATTCGGCGGGATACCGAATAGTCAATAGGTCCACTGTTCGGCCCCGAAGCGAATACGAAGTGAATATTCGGTACAGTCTTACTAAAAACTACACAAACTGTGACAGAAAACTCAAAGGACAAGACAACAGAGCTTCTAAACAACCAAAGTCAACATGAAACCATGAAATTCAAAATTCGTAATGGGTTAAAGTTATGCAATAGTTTATTATGTAAAAGTAAGCATGGATCAGCTTAGTGCCTGCAGTGTTGAGAACAGAACGGAAGTAACAAGTAAAGGACTCTTTTGACACACATGGGGCAAATGATGAGTGAGCCATGTTCAACCCCACCAGGACCGCCCATTGAGCGACTAACACCTGGTGATACATATGCCACCACTCGGATGAGAATCCCCAAGATGCAAGTCCCAGAAACCTTGTTTAACTGTTAAGGTATATTACGGCCCCCGACAACAGCCGGATTGGGGTTTACAGTGAAAAAAAAAATATTATCATATCGGGGTGGAGATTATGGACATCTAATGATGGACTGATATTATTATAAAGCACTCAGTATTGATAGATAATGTGGTCAACATCACCCAGTCACCTTTACTTCCTAGGACACTAGCTGGTACCCATTTTAGGCTGGATCATTCTAGGAGCTGAGAATAGAAAGGGAGTGGAACAAGTAAAGGATTCATTTCCTTACTGTGAGGAAGGCTGGGTATATGATTTGAGTTCTTGAAGACCAATAGACACTCAATCGATGTGATCAACATCACATCAGCTGCCCTCACCTCCCAGGGACATTTCACGGTACCCATTTTAGGCTTGGTTGACCAGGAGTCCGCATGAACTTGGGAACAATTCCTGTTTGAGGCAGATTTGATATTATCACCAGCATGGCAGGCAGGTGAACCAACCACTGTAAGAGAGGTGAACTGATAGATCAGAATCATGTATCATATCCTTAACAAAATAACTGACTTTAACTGTGACATTAACTATGACCATTAATTGTGAAACTGAAATATTTTGGCCGAATCAAGAACAAAGCAGATTGGAAAGAATATAGCCGAAGGCATAGTACCAGAAAATGGGGACAGGGACCAACTAGCACAAAAATGGGCACAGGATATAAGTGACACACTGGGTAGGAGAGTGCATGAGGGGGGAGAGCTGGCGAGAGACTGAGTTTTTTTCAGGCAGACCGTGATGAGAACGACATTCTGCAAAGGACCTTCTACATGATGGGTAATTCCGAGATTAAGTATGACATTAACTATGGCATTAATTCTGAGATTAAGTGTTGTATTAATTATAACCATAACTGTAACATTAATTGTAACATTAACTGTGTCATTAATTATGGCATTAACTGTGAGATTAATTATACATTAACTGATATTATTTATGGCATTAATTGTTAGATTAACTATGGTATTAACTGTGTGATTAATTATGGCATTAACTGTGAAATTAATTATGGCTTTTACTGTGAGATTAATTATAGCATTAACTGTGAGATTCATTATGGCATTAACTATGAGATTCAGTTTGGCATTAACTGTGAGATCAGGTATGACATTAACTATATATAAATTGCTTTTGCCTCAGGAGCATGACTGTAAGCTGACACAGGAAATCATTGAACTGATTGATCGTGAAGCAGACTTATTAATGCGAGGAGTTAAAGAGACCAACCTTACAGGATTGCGTAAGAGGATTTGTACCTTATTCCTACAGTACATCAAGACACCAGTCTTTAACCCAGAGGCTGCCAAATATCTCAAGGTCGGTTATGTGCCAGTATTTCTCATTTGCATGTCAATTTCTTCTAAAGTGGGTGGCTCTCAATCCTCCTCATGCTGCGACCCTTTAATACAGTTCCATCATGTTATGGCGACCCCCAAAAATTAATTTTCCTTCATAACTTCAATGAATAAGTGTTTTTTGATGGTCTCAGGTGACCCCTGTGAAAGGGTCGTTTGATCCAAAAAAGGATCGCGACCAGCAGGTTGAGAACTGCTGTTAAGCAAAACTCTTATCCAACTGAATATCATTCTCTTGCCATCAGATGAATTTATTCGTATGGATTCTAGGGTGCCATTGGAAAGGGGAGGGAGGGGGGGGGGGCCGTGTGTGAACAAGCGTGTCATATGAGACAACTATACGGGGTTTACTTTTTCTAGACTTTAGTCTTTTTTCTGAACCTGAGTTCTGCGATGCACATCCATGCTACAGGTTTGGCTTATTTATGTGCAGAATGTTGGTCCCTTATCTCTTCGGCTTCAGAGGGATCACTCCTAATCAGTCATCTTTTACAACATTGTTATAGGGAAGGGGGCCTATTCTTCCCACCCCCCTCCCCAAATGGGACCCCAGGATTAACACTGGGAGGGGTTTACTTAAACTGGATGTACTGACAGTAATTATCTTGAGGTTGATAAACTGACTTAGAGAAAAAAAAAGAAACAGGCTTATATTTTAAATTTTGTCATTAAGCATCATGGGGAGTAACAGCTGGTGATCCAGCACCTGAGTGGTTGAAGATCTGGCACCTGACTGGTTGAAGAATCCATTGTGTAAATGTTCTGTGTAATGTCTTCAGACAGTTTTTTTTATTGTCGGCCTTTCTCCGAAAGTTCTGGAATAGTTTATTATAGTCAGTGTTTCTCTAAAAGTTCTGCAATAGTTTATTATAGTCAGTGTTTCTCTGAAAGTTCCAGAATAGTTTATTACAGTCAGTGTTTCTCTGAAAGTTCTGCAATAGTTTATTATAGTCAGTGTTTCTCAGAAAGCTCTGGAATAGTTTATTATGGTCAGACTTTCTCTTAAATTTAAGTTCTGGAATAGTTTATTATAGTCAGTGTTTCTCAGAAAGTTCTGGAATAGTTTATTATGGTCAGCCTTTCTCTGAAAGTTCTGGAATAATAAGGTTGATCTTTCTGTAAAGGTTCTGGAATAGTTTATTATGATTGGCCTTTCTTTGAAAGTTCTGGAATAGTTTATTATGATTGGCCTTTCTTTGAAAGTTCTAGAATAGTTAATTAAAGTCTGTCTTTCTTTGAAAGTTATAGAATAGTTTATTATGATTGGCCTTTCTTTGAAAGTTCTAGAATAGTTTATTATGATTGGCCCTTCTTTGAAAGTTCTGGAATAGTTTATTATGATTGGCCTTTCTTTGAAAGTTCTGAAATAGTTTATTATGATTGGCCTTTCTTTGAAAGTTCTGGAATAGTTTATTATGATTGGCCTTTCTTTGAAAGTTCTGGAATAGTTTATTAAAGTCTGTCTTTCTTTGAAAGTTCTAGAATAGTTTATTAAAGTCAGTCTTTCTTCGAAAGTTCTGGAATAGTTTTTTTTATTGTCTGTGTTTCTTTGAAAGTTCTGGAATAGTTTTTTTATTGTCTGTGTTTCTTTTAAAGTTCTGGAATTGTTTTTTTATTTTCTGTGTTTCTTTTAAAGTGCTGGAATAGTTTTTTTTATTGTCTGTGTTTCTTTGAAAGTTCTGGAATAGTTTATTATTGGTCTGTCTTTCTTTGAAAGTACTGGAACATTTTATGTTTATGTTTGTAAATCATTCCGCCCACGTTCACTCTTCAACAGGTACCTCAGGACCCGATGGCTCTGCGAAAGAACATAAATTACTGCCGCAGTTGTGGTTCTTACCTGCCATCCACCGATTTCTTCATCACCACAAATTCCAAAAATGCTGGTCGTTGTCGTCACTGCCAGAAGATTGAGAATGAAGGTCACCAGCGGGAGGACCATACTTACTTCAAGGTCATGCTCAAAGCTCTGCACAGATCTGAAGAAGCAATGCAAGATGGCAGCACTTTGTGTTATCTTTTGCAGGTCAGTGTGCTTTGCTCATTGAAACTCAAGTACTAAATGATTTGGAATTTAAAACGTATGGATTAGACTATTCCCCCCACAAGCGTCTCAACCTTGTGGAGGAATTTGTATTTCTCAATGATCTGTTTAAATCATCACTAATACAGGCATAATGAGGACTAATAGGCTGCAATGGTTGGGGCATTTTGACAGAACAGCAGATAACAGAGGGACAAAAACTGAACACAAAAGAGTTGAATGGCAGACCAGGAAGACAGGAGAGAGCTAATATACAGGTATATACTTGGAATCACCAACTGGAAAGGGAAAGTTAACTAGACATAAATGGAAGAGGGTTATATCTGCAGTAGTGAACTCAAGGCTCGGAACATTGGAAAAAATAAGAAAAAGAGTTTAGATTAGTCATAATTTACATGAAAAAACTATTTACACAGAGATACTGCCTAGGGTTAGATATTAATATATAAGAAATGAAAATGTTCATAATTAACAATGAAAGGTGTCCAGCAATGAACATCACAGTTAAAAAAGAGATACTAGAAAAGGTAACAAGCTTCTCCTGTCTTGGACATACAATAACTGATAATGACTGAGGTGAAAGAGAAATCAAAAATATAAATGGCCAAAAATGTGAAAGTAAATTTATTTTTCTTTTTTAAATTCGTCACCTTTAGTGTGGATTTAAACACATGACCACTAGACAAACACGTATATACACTAGCCACTGTGCTGCATGGGTATCTCTTTTATGATGTACAAGACATTCTATTTCTTCAGCTTTCTGAGCCATTGAAGTTTATTGCTGCAGAAATCCTCAGCTTCCATCTATCTCTGTGACTGGCTTTCTCTTTCAAGTGTGTGACTCCAGGTGTTTGTAGGTCTGCCTGAAAATGATCTTTACACTGTCTTCTTTGTCTGCCCCATGGTCTTCCCTCAAGATATTTGTCTGCTCCATGGTCTTCCTTCAAAATATTTGTCTGCTCCATGGTCTTCCCTCAAGATATTTGTCTGCCCCATGGTCTTCCCTCAAGATATGTGTCTGCCCCATGGTCTTCCCTCAAGATATTTGTCTGCTCCATGGTCTTCCCTCAAGATATTTGTCTGCTCCATGGTCTTCCCTCAAGATTTTTGTCTGCTCCATGGTCTTCCCTCAAGATATTTGTCTGCTCCATGGTCTTCCCTCAAGATTTTTGTCTGCTCCATGGTCTTCCCTCAAGATATTTGTCTGCTCCATGGTCTTCCCTCAAGATCTTTGTCTGCCCCATGGTCTTCCCTCAAGATATTTGTCTGCTCCATGGTCTTCCCTCAAGATGTTTGTCTGCTCCATGGTCTTCCCTCAAGATATTTGTCTGCTCCATGGTCTTCCCTCAAGATGTTTGTCTGCTCCATGGTCTTCCCTCAAGATATTTGTCTGCTCCATGGTCTTCCCTCAAGATATTTGTCTGCTCCATGGTCTTCCCTCAAGATATTTGTCTGCTCCATGGTCTTCCCTCAAGATATTTGTCTGCTCCATGGTCTTCCCTCAAGATATTTGTCTGCTCTATGGTCTTCCCTCAAGATATTTGTCTGACAAACAAAAAAACACTATAATATTTAAATATTGACCACTGTTCTAAACACAGTAGAAGCTTTACATATGGGTTTAGAAAACTGATATTTGAACGACCTGCTGTTGTTCTTAACATTATATATATATATATATATATATATATATATATATATATATATATATATATATATATATATATGTATATGTATATATATGTATATGTGTGTGTGTATATATATATATATATATATATATATATATATATATATATATATATATATATATATATAACACACATATAAATATAATAAATAGACAGATCAGCACCACTCATAGAAAGAAGTAAAATGTTAGAAGGAAACATTAAGACAAATAACAATTGAAAGCTATAGCTATTGTGCCAGGAAATTTAACCTGTCATCTCCAAATGACAAATACGCCTCACTATGGAAACAAATGTAGAAAGATAAATTACTAAATAGGCACCCCCTAAAAAAGTTCTGTTTCCATAGCGAGGCACATTTGTCGTTTGGAGGCGATTTATTATATATATATAATGTTTCTACAGCCTGAAGGGTTCACTCTGTTTATTGCTGTTTCTTAAACAGGAGAATGATCTTCGTTACTTGGTTGAGAACATTTGGAGCAACCAGAGTGTGCTGAGTGCATGGAATGATCCATATGACCTTGTCCTTTGCCGATGGGATAAACATCAAGAGTGGTCACCCTGGAATTGTATTTTGCTAACTCATGACGAAGCAGAAGCTCACAAGAAATTGTTCAGCTTAGAGGAGGTAAAATGTTGCCTTTCTTTATAGTTATATTTACAGTAACATATTATTGGCATTTAACCAACTAAGTGCAATTTCAGGGCTGTTAGTTGTCACTTTACAATATGCCATAGGTGCAAATATAAATTCCTATTCCAAATACACAATTTTTTTTTGCTTCAGTGTTATGTTTGTTTTTGTTTCCCAGTGGAAAGTCCTGGTTGTTAATCCATTTCTAGACTTTGGCTTTGTTAAAGGAGTTTTGCATTTTACATATCTGATCTAATAGTTTGCAGACTGTTGTTTCCTTGCCTCTCAGGCAGATGCACTCTGATTTTGAAGAAATCCCCTATTTAGTTGACTCCCATGATATACTTGTTAGGGAGTGACAAATGACAGCCCTGGGTATTCTTGTTTCCCCCAAATTAGGGCCCCAGAACCCATTTAGGGGCACCACAAATGTTTTTTAAGAGAAATCTTAATATTCAAATTCAATTTTCTGAAAACAAATATATTGCACGTCTTATTCTTCTTCTCTTCTACCGTGTACCTCAGTGAAGTGTTGGGGGGAGATGTAAGGTTCGTTGATGTGCTCCGTCAAGAGCACTATTAGGATT